AGTATGTTTCCACAATAAAAATAATTTAGACATTAAAAATATTAAAATATTATTAATAAAAGTTAAAAAAAAAAATTAGTATATTTTGACATTTTAAATATTCAAACTTTCCATAAAATATTTTCAATCCCTCCAATAAATTTTTTTTACCTGTTAATTTATGAAAGATATTATAATCATTTTATAATCAATCTACATATTTTATTATTTGAACATTTAGATTTTCCTCAATCTGTTAATGGAATAATCGTGAAAGAGTTTCATTGCAAATATTTTAATAAATTTATATATTAGACTATGGGTCCTCCTCTTGGAAGTCAACCATCTTGTAAGAAAAAGTAAAATCGATATGTTTGGACATTTTAAATGTCCAAATTTCTTATAAAGTTGTTTAAATATTCTCAATAATTTTTTTTAATGTTAACTCATTAAGAGTCTTTTAATTTTAATTTTTTTCATTATCTATTATAATGTTTTAATTATCCAAACATCTTAATTTGCCTCAATCCTTTATTATGCAGACTTAAAAACACTTCTTTGAAATAAGTAAACATTGATTCCAACGTTAGAAGTAACGGCCTGGAATATGGCTGGAATATCAAGTCCAACTGCAATTAATTTGAGATAATTGAAAAGGAGTACTATACCTTTGAAGAGAAGCTACTTCTCAAATTAGAACCGCTTTTATGATACCGTCACACATACCATCAGCGTATGGAAACATATGCCCTGCGCCTGGAAGCTCATGGTAATGAACCCATTCGAGTCGTTGAGCAATATAGCGTTGAAGTGAAAGAGGCACAACTATGTCTTCATCTCCATGCCAAATGTGCACCGAACCCTCATTGTTGGGAAACGGATTTTTAAGACGCATAGGATCAAACTCCCAGTCTCCAAATCCAACTATAAGGTCACGATGGATGGACTCATATTCTCCCTGCTGCCTGACTTGTGCCTGAGGGGTAAAACATGGTAAAACACCAAGCTAATTAAAGATGTCAATCACAACACTAAAAGTTCAAAAATTAATCATCAAACATCGCTAAATTAACTCCTAGCATCTGATTGTTTTAGGTTGTTCAGCTCTATGTGTGCATAATGATATTTAAACTCTGTCAATGTCTTTGTATTTGGTTATATGTTGAATGAAATGTAATATTCAGTTGACCAAAAAAACAAACCATTACTAAATTATAACCGACACATGAGCTTGACATGGTATTGACTAGTCACGGTAAGCTCTTAGTCTTATGGTCCTAACAACCATCTAATCGAGAAGTTTAATCGAGCATTAACAACTTGAATCTGGCGCAGAGATGGTAGAGATGTAATCTGCCTACACGCTTATAGGCTTTAATCACATTATCATCAATGCCTTCCAAAAAAAAAAAAAAATCACATTATCATCAAAAGTATTCTTTGTTAAAAGAGAAATATATATATATACGTGCATACCATGTGATTCTTTCTTCTTGCAAGCTTAGGCAAAAGTTCCTTATCAGGGCGAGAGAACGTATCAGTACGCTTAGCAATAACACTGGACACTGGAAACCACTTTTGGGTATTCCACCAGTAGGTAAGCCAGGGAGCATAGTGTGCAACACGTAGCGCCCACTGGTCCTGAGTTAATTGCTTATAGTAGGCTTCTTTAGATAAGTTTGCAGGAAAACCAGGCCACCAGTAGTTAACAACTGGAGCCAATAGTGTTGCTCCTGCTAACCTGTTGGAGTTACAAATATCTCCAAATGAATGAGACCAAGTTATGTCAACATTAAGTAGCATATGTACAAAGTAACATTTACTTTAGAAAACATGGGTATGCAGGCCTTTGTCCTTACTAAGTAATATGCACAATTAAGTAGCATATGTACAAAGTGATATGCACATTCATGCTTCTTCCTGTTCTGCAATCAATGAAATAAGTTGGCGAGACAATACCTATGAGGGATATATTTGATGCAGCTCCAAATCACTTGGCCTCCCATGGAAAAGCCAATTACATAGAATTTGGATCCCAGTTCCAATTGATCAGCAAGTTCCTCTATATCCAAAGCCATGCTCTTAAGGGTTCGTTTCGGATTAGGATCACTCTCTGCATAGCCTGGTCTGTCAAAAGACACAATGTATATCCCTAAATCTTCAACAATTTCCTGAAACATAAACAATCTCCATTTTTAACAAATGACTCTTAAAGCTAAGAAACGCACACAACAACATTAATTAAAAAGCAATGAATTAAAGTACCATAGACAGGGTATTGGCAACGATAGCATCATGCCTGCAAGAGTCAAAGCCATGGACATATACAAATTTATATTTGGCTGCACCTCTTGGGACGCCATGCTCTTTGTAGGCTAGGTGCCTCCCATCCCTTAGCTTTATTCTTGGTGCTGTGACAGGAGGGCCATCTGGAGAGCCACATAACTTGGGTGGGGCAGGTTGGACTACCCGATAAACACATGCTGCAATCCCCACGAACAAGACTACTATCGTCTTTGTGAACAACCCTGCAACTTTTAATTCCAATTAAAAGAAGAGTTTGTCTAAGCCGTGGAGTAGGGGCATAAAGATGCAACAAATATATTATTTTGTACTCTCTATTTATTTTTAATAGATATAATTTAATTTAAAAAAATTTTAAACATAAATTTTAAATAAAAATTTAACAATTTATATAAATAACAATTGAAATGTTTTTTCTTCCTATATAAAGATCTTATTGAGTAATTTTATTTGATTAAAAAATTTTCAATTATC